TATATATATATATATATTTAGATTTATTGCAGTTATCATTTATTTCAAATAATAAAAATATCTTTGAATGTGTTTAGTTTGTTAACTATAATAATGCTGTCTCGTGGCGCCTCTGTTTGATTCTATAGCGGATAGAACCCAGTCCCACTCTACATGTGTTCTTTCTCTGTAATCCACTTCACTCGTGTATATGAATACTGAATGCTCTCGTGTGCTGCTAATGCTCAGGGTGACGGTGAACCAGATCCAGCTGAAGCTCCCGGCAGAGTCTCTGGAGGACTGGAAGCGTCGCGGCTTCGTGGATTACGTGGTTCTGCTGGACTGGTTCAGCTGCGTCTCTGATCTCAAACTGGGCACCACTCTACAGAGTCTGAAGGATGCTCTCTATAAGGTACTGTACCTCCAGCTCAGTGTGTGTGTGTGTGTGTGTGTGTGTGTGTGTCGTATCTGGTGTGTGTGTGTGTGTGTGTGTGTCGTATCTGATGTGTGTGTGTGTGTGTGTCGTATCTGATGTGTGTGTGTGTGTCGTATCTGATGTGTGTGTGCAGTGGGACAGCAGCACGATCCTGCGCAGTGAGCCTCTGGTGCTGGATGGAGGATATGATAACTGGCTGCTCTTTTACCCAATGTACAGCAGCAACGCTAAAGTCAAACCCCCCCGACAGCAGACGGCCAGCAGCCTGCCCCAGCGTGAGTCTCACAGCACACACATCATATGATTTATCATGCGCTGATATGCATTGTGGATATTAACTCTTTCCCCACCAAAACCAGAATTTTCTGGGTTTGCGTGTTTTCACTGTTATACGCTAGGGGGCGCTATCACGCATCTCCTGAATGAGTCTAGAGTCACTGTCAAAAACACAGTCGAGGAAGATGCAGAAGCGTGCGATCTCGAATGCATCCATATGAAAAATATTGTGATCATCAACCATAAACGGCATATGAATAGATTCATAGGAGCCATAGATGCTGGTATGGCAATACAAATAAATTGAGCTGAATAGGCTGATGTTGAGTGTTAGAGGGATAGTTCACCCAAAAATGAATATATTTTGAAGAATGTGAGTAACCAAACAGTTTATAGTCCCCAATTACTGACCACTGTAGTATTTTTTTTTCTCATACTGTGAAAGTCAATAGTTCGGTTACCAACATTGCTCAAAATATCTTTTGTGTTCAAGCCAAGATACTCATACATGATGATGACGACAGTAAATGATGACAGAATTTTTGGATGAACACTCCCCTTAGCATAGTGAAATATAAATATAATTTCTAAACCAGAAATATATCGACACGGAGGAACAATATCACTGGAATCACTTTCAGAACAATATTTTCATCTGATGAACAACAGAAACATGACAGCCAATCAGAAAGGAGCCAAGCATTTAAAGCGACAGACGATGAAAGAATAAGCAGAGGGTTCTTGTGTGTGTGTGGATGCTGCTAGTGTGCATGTTCTGTCTATGCTGCTCCGTGAATGCAGTGAAGCTGTTGCTGTGGTTTCAGTGAACTTCTCGTACCCGTCGCTGGAGGAGCCCGAAGCCGTGAGTGTGTGTGAGGAGCCTGCAGACGCGCAGCTGAACGGCAGAACCGTGGATCCGGAGCCGGCTGTAAACACCCCCGCGCCGCTCACACAGCCCACAATAACAGACGCCGCCGCCTCGCCCCGACACACTCCACAGGCGAGTTACAGGGCTGCCAAATGCCTGAAAAACTCATTCACATTTTTTACTTAAATATGATCAAAATTCAAATACTATTCAAATTTAAAAGGCATGATTTCAGTTAGAGGGGGATAAACGCTTTTGGCTTCTCTCGAGGCCACAAGAGGGCGCATCGAGCAAAATATTACTAATGCATGTTTCTTCAAAACAATAAAATAACACGACTATCTTTGAAAAAAAGAGCAAAATGCTTAAAATAATGTTTATAAGCCAAATATAATAAATTAATGTGACCCTGGAGCACAAAACCAGTCATAAGGGTAAGATTTATACGTCATCTGAAAGCTGAATAAATAATCTTTCCATTGATGTATGGTTTGTTAGGATTGGACAATATCTGAAAATCTGGAATCTGAGGGTGCAAAAAAATCTAAATATTGAGAAAATCATCTTTAAAGTTGTTCAAATGAAGTTCTTAGCAATGCATATTACTAATCACACATTAAGTTTTGATATATTTACGGTAGGAGATTTACTAAATATCTTCATGGAACATGATCTTTACTTAATATCCTAATGATTTTTGGCATAAAAGAGAAATGTATAATTGTGACCCATACAATGTATTGTTGGCTATTGCTACAAATATCCCCCAGCGACTCAACACTGCTTTTGTGCTGCAGAGACACTAATTTGCTTAAACTATTATTAACAAAACAGCATCATGTATGTTTAACACAAAAGGCTGAAAGCCAATGACACAGAGTACTTTTTTTATTTAAAAACATGAGATTTAGGCCCAATCCCAGTTCTATTTATACCCCTTCCCCTTGTCTCTTGAAACGGAGTGTCAGGGGGTAGGGGTGAAAATATTCCCCTAAGAATTGGGACACCACTACTATACGTCACACGTCATCATACATCGTCTAGCTCCTGCAGTACACACACCTATACTGGTATGCTGGTGTGCATTAGAGCCTTTTAATTAATTTAATTACTGTTCTATATTAATGCGCTGCTTACTGACACACACACACACACACACAATTTAAAAACTGAATCGATACATTATATTTTCCAGCAACGAGAAAATAAAATCGCTGTTTTTGAAGTAAACGCACTCTAAAAAAAGAAATGCACAACACAATTCACGCAACGCAACTTTCATCTCTCTCTCGAAATGGCAATATTTGAGAAAAGGGTTTAGCGATGTCTAATTATTTGGGGGACTAGCCCCCCTCAGTGTCTACGGTGGTCATCGCCCTGATCAGACATGAACATATGTTGTGGCACTATCGTGCGGTCTATAATGATATGATGTTAGTTAGCAAATATTAGCGATTTTTTGCAAACATTTCTTTGAGTAACATGACCGTAAATATGAACTCACAATTGAATGCAACATAAAACAAATGATTACTTTTCGTTAAAATCTTTATTAATGCCAAAAATGCTTACATTTATGTCTTTTTATTCGCTCGTGTGTGTGTGTGTGTGTCAGCCCTGAAGCCGGTTTACGCTGAGATAATTCATACCCCTTCGTTTGAAGTGTGGTCCCGAAAAATCTTCATTTGAAGGGCTGTCTGGCTCTTCCCCTACCCCTCCACCCAAAAGAGAATCGAGACACCCCTACCCCTTCACGTGAGCGCGCGAAACGGAGGGGTAGGGAAAAGGGAAAGGCTAAGGGGTAGAATTGGGATTGGGCCTTAGTGAGAGGGCCAAACAAAACCCACCAGAAAGCCGGTAACGTAAACCACACTGATGTTCTCTTTTTCCGCAATATTTTGAATAAACATCGCAGCAGCGCCGCATCTAGTGGCTTCAACTGGATAGACTAACAAACACATTAAAACGCAACGACACTTACATCCACTGATAAAGCTGCCTGACGCACACCTAAATTCTAATGCAACGTTTTTGCATTCAAATGTGGATTTTTATTTTAAAATCAACGAATATTCAAAATTTGCATTTTTATTTGACAGCCCTAGTGTGGCTCGCGGAGCGCTCTGCTCCAAGTGTAACTCACTATATTATATTGCGGAAAAAGAGAACATCAATGCAGAGAAGATCTTGTTTACGTCAAAACTGAAACCAAGCCATTCACACAGAATGTATTTATCGCATTTTCTAGAGGGACATCTATCACCGCTTCACTCACGTTTCGCAGAGAGCGGCATGTTTAGAAAGCCATGTAAAATTAATGTAAGTTCAACTTTTAAAAAACACGTCTCGAGACTTTATGGGGGTTTCTCCCATCCCACTGCATCTCATGTTTTTAAATGAAGAAAGTACTCTTTGTGATTGGTTCACTTTTTTCAAAGATAGTCGTGTTATTATATTGCTTTGAAGAAACATGCATTAGTAATATTTTGCTCGATGCGTCCTCTTGTGGCCTCGAGAGAGAAGCCAAAAGCTTTTATCCCCCTCTAACTGAAATTATGCCTTTTAAATTTGAATATTGATAATATTTAAGTACAAAATTCGAATTCAGTTTTTAACACTCACACACTCACTCACTCACTCACACACTCACACACACACTAACGCTTCCTCTGAACGCAGGTCGACCGTTCCAAAAAACCAGCCGTCAAACCGGCAGCGAGCACAAAGCTCAGCGAGGAGCCCTCGGTAAGCGATGGCCCCGCGGCACACAACGGCCCCGTGGTGCCCGACCGCTCTGGCAAACCCCCGCTGGACCCTTCTAGAGCTCTGAGCGAAGAGGAGCGCAGGGAGATCCACGCAGAGACCCTCAGTCTGATGGAGAAAGCCCGCAAAGAGCAGGAGCAGCGCAAACGAGCCCTGGAGGAGAAAGAGACGGCCGAGAGACATCAGCGAGAACAGAGCGAGAGGAAGAAGGAGGAGGAGGAGGAGGAGGAGAGGAAGAAGCTGGAGAGACCGACGGCCGAAGAGGAGGATCAGGGAGACGCCAGAGACGAGAAGAACAAGAGAGCACAGAAGGACGTGCCGCTGGACGCTGCCATGAAGAGCATGTCTCTGGATTCACCTGCAACCTTCAGCACTGTGAGTGACGCATACACACACTCACACACACACTCACACACACACTCTCACACTCACACACACACCTTGTATTGCGTAATCACTTGAACATGTGTGTGTGTGTGTGTGTGTTTCAGGGAAACGCCAGAGATGAGAAGAACAGGAGAGCACAGAAGGACGTGCCGCTGGACGCTGCCATGAAGAGCATGTCTCTGGATTCACCTGCAACCTTCAGCACTGTGAGTGACGCATACACACACTCACACACACACTCTCACACTCACACACACACCTTGTATTGCGTAATCACTTGAACATGTGTGTGTGTGTGTGTGTGTTCCAGAGGGAGTCTCTGACGCGAGCACACAGTGAGGAGATGGGCCGAACCGTCCCTGGGCTGCCAGACGGCTGGATGAAGGTAAGAGCAGCAGCAGGTGTTCCTTGTGGAGTAGGGCTGAGCCATTTTTCCAATTTTATCAATTCATCCTAATTTAATGCCACAATTTAATTTTTTTAATAAATAGAATAGAATAGAAATATGTTCATATTTTTTTTTTTTAAACGAAGTATTAACACAAGTTAGACTGCACCCCATAAACACATTCAAGCCTAGGAAAAAAACAGTCAACCACCCCTTTAACATTTACATCATGTTGACAACTTCATGTGTGCTGCACTTGGAATAGAATTTTCTAGAGGATTAATAAAGAAAAAGTTACTTGAATCATGTTGTAGTTACATTTTCAAGTTGACTAGTTAAAAAATCGTAAAAAAAATCGAGAATCGATTAAGCGTTCTGAAAAAATTGAGATTTTAATGTTTTGCCATATCGCCCAGATCTATTGTGTTGTTTGCTGGTGTTTCTAACTGAGCTGCACATCTCTGCAGTTTCTGGACACGGTGACGGGCACCTACAGATATTACCACTCTCCCACCAACCGCGTGCACCTGTACCCTCCGGAGGTCCACACGCCTCAGATCCAGCCCAGCGCCGCTAAAGCCAAGCCACCGCAGCCCGCCGAGACGGAGAAAGAGCAGGAGAGCGAGAGAGAGGAGGAGCGGGACCGAGAGCAGTCCAAACTCAAGCGCTCATACTCCTCTCCTGACATCAGCCAAGAGCTGAGCGCAGAGACCAGCAGAAAACCTGCAGCCGTGCCCACCATCAACAGAGAGAACAAGTACACTCTTACACACACACACCCGCACACACACACACACACTCACTCTCTCTCTCACACACACACACTCTTACACACACACACGCACACACACACACTCACTCTTACACACACACACACTCTTACACACACGCACACACACACACACTCTAACACACACAGAAGTTCTTCACAGGTGTGTGTTTGTGTCTCAGGCCGCTGACCACCGCTGCTGCTTACACTAAGGTGGAGATCGCTCGGCCGTCTGCGGCTAAGATCCGGAACCTAAACCCGGTGTTTGGAGGTCAGGGGCCGTTGCTAACGGGCCTCCGTAACCTCGGCAACACCTGCTACATGAACTCTATCCTCCAGTGCCTGTGTAACACGGTCGCCATGGCAGACTATTTCAACAGGAACATTTATCAGGACGACATTAACCGGTAATCCATCTTTCAGACGTCACTGATTAAACGATCACATTCAGTGTGACTGTGTGTGTGTTTCTCACAGGGCCAATATTCTGGGTCACAAGGGCGAGGTGGCCGAGGAGTTCAGCATCATCATGAAGGCACTGTGGTCAGGGCAGTACAAAATGATCAGCCCGCAGGATTTTAAAGGCACCATCTGTAAAATCAACAACCGCTTCTCCAGCTACGAGCACCAGGACTCTCAGGAGCTGCTGCTGTTCCTCATGGACGGCCTGCACGAGGATCTCAATAAGGTACAGCGCTCAGAGCGTGTTCTCCAGGAGCCATGCGCCTCACGATAAAGACACATTCTCTCATTGTCTGTCAGGCGGATAAACGGCGCGGGTATAAGGAGGAGGACATCGATCATCTGGACGACGTGAGCGCAGCAGAGCTGGCCTGGTCCAAACACAGGCTCCTGAACGAGTCCATCATCGTGGCTCTGTTCCAGGGTCAGTTTAAGTCCACGGTCCAGTGCATGAGCTGCCAGCACAAGTCCCGCACCTTCGAGACCTTCATGTACCTGACTCTGGAGATGACGTCCAGCAGCAAGTGCTCGCTACAGGTCACATATACATACAATTTCAAAAATTGAAATTTCCACTTGGGTGTGGAGTCACTATTCTCTCAGAGTTAGATCGATTATTAAGACTTTATCACACACTCTCTCTCTCTCTCTCTCTCTCACACACACACACACACACACACACACTCTCACACACACTCTCTCTCTCTCTCTCTCTCTCTCTCTCTCACACACACACACAACATTTAAATTTAGTCATTTAGCAGATGCTTTTATCCAAAGCGACTTACAAATGAGGACAATAGAAGCAATCAAAACTAACAAAAGAGCAATATGTAAATGCAAATGACAAGTTTCGGTTAGCCTAACACAGTACACGTAGCAAGGTATTTTTATATATATATATAAATATATACAGGTACTCAAATCTAAAAAAAATTGAATATCATGCAAAAGGTCAATATTTTTTGTCACTCATTTCAGAAAGCGAAACCCATGAAATGAGTGACACAAAATATTGACCTTTTTCATGATATTCTAATTCTATATATTCTATAATATATTATATATATATATACACATATACACACACACATAAAAAGATAAACAAGTATATATAATAGAAAAAATACAACGCTAGTGTTAGTTGTCTTTTAAATAAAAAAGAAGATAAATAGATAAAGTAGAATTAAAATAGAATAGAGAGTGCTAGAGTTAGAGGGTCAAATAAAGATGGAAGAGATGTGTTTTTAGCCGATTCTTGAAGATGGTTAAGGACTCAGCTGCTGGGATTGAGTTGGGCAGGTCATTCCACCAGGAGGGAACAGTTAATTTAAAAGTCCGTGAAAGTGATTTTGTGCCTCTTTGAGATGACACAATAATACGACGTTTACTTGCAGAACGCAAGCTTCTTCTAGATGCACATAACTCTGAAGTAATGAATTTAGGTAAAGGGGTGCAGAGCCAGTGGTGGTTTTGTAGGCAAACATTAATGCCTTGAAATTTATGCGAGCAGCTATTGGTAGCCAGTGCAGATTGATGAACAGAGGTGTGACATGCGTATTGATGTTGTATTGATAAGGAGTTATCTCAAAGTAAGTCTGTTTAGTTGTGCTATCTTACAATCAATATATAGTAAATGTAAGTTAAAGTGTCTCCGATGTAACCGGTTAAAATTTGGAGTGGCGATGAGGTCTTAAAATGTATGGAAAGAGTCTTAAAAAAGGTAATAAACGGTATTAAATTTAACTCCATGATTCCTGTATATACCCTGAATAAGTATAGTGGATTTGGAAGCCGCTCTTGCCAGTCTTAGGGCTTCAACAACTGAGAGCAAGGCAGTCTCGGTCGAATGTCCACTTCTGAAACCAGACTGGTTGCTGTCCAGGAGGTTGTTCTGTGTGAGAAAGGCAGAGACTTGGTTGAACACAACTCGTTCAAGTGTTTCTGCAATGAAAGGTAGAAGGGAAACCGGTCTGTAGTTCTCTAAAAGAGTTGGGTTAAGAGTGGGTTTCTTAAGAAGTGGGGTTATACGAGCCTGTCTAAATGCTGAGGGAAAAACACCAGTGTGAAGGGATGTGTTAA